CCCAGCTGTCCCCAGCAGGGCAGGGCACTCACGGCGTGCACGGGCGCAGCGATGTCGATGTGCACCCACACCCCCGGCCAGTCGAAGCCGATGTGGGAGGCAATGAAGAGCCCAGCACAGGAGCTGGGGGTGTTGTCTCTGTCCTGTGGGGGCAATAAAAACAGAGTTGGTCTCACCAGCGGAGAAAATGTAAATGGTTCATTCTGCCTAGAGGAAAGACAGATACACAAATTTCATATAAAGCTTAATGAATGGCCCCCCAGAACAGTCTTACAAACCAACTTTACTGTAAATCCTTGACTTAGCCCCCAGCAGCAGGGTGGCCCTGCTCAATTCCTCTCCTGTCTACAAAACACATATGTTTCTGTAATAGAGAAAGAAATCTTACTGCTACAGAGTTCTTCATATCAGCTACAGCAGAGGTAAATTCACTGAAGTGCAGCTCAGGGCAGTACACCAGAGGATGGACCAAGTCTCCACAGTTCCTGCCAGCTTTAACACAAGCCTTTTCCCACTCTTCATTATTGGTAAGGACAGCAGCATGGTATTTTCCTGTAGCAATTCCCTAGTGAGGTAAAGGACAAAATCAGGAAGAAGTCACCTTCCACCACCGCTCATCAATATAACCTTGTAGGAAACAGAACAGGTGCTAGAAAATAATGGTGTTAAATTTGTAGCTGTGTACAAATGTGTATGACTTGAAATGGAAGCCATTTCATAGACAAGAAAATCCTGATCACTATTAACAAACCAGTTCTGNGCTGGGAAAAGGAATGGGAGCAGGGTGATGATGTTGCACACAAAGTTTTGGAGCACTCAGTGTTCTCAGAAATGTAAATAACACCACAAAACACCACATGGGATATGCAAGCTTCTTTAATAATAATAAATTTATTAAGTGGCAAGAAGCCACTCTGCTTTGTAAACTGATTTTACTCAATCACAGTCCCTCTATTGTTTTCCTCATTTAACATGAATACATTCTGTAATTTGTATGTGAAACAATTACACAGGCATATGTTCTGAACCCTTCTTGCTGATTTTACTGGTCAGAAGAACATTAAAACATGCAGAAACAGCACCTATAGGCCTTTTCTCATTACATCTCCTTTGCTGCTAAGCTAAACTGTCTCTGAACAAGCCAAGTCTACAGAGTTTTTTCCTTGTCCTGTGTTCTGAGATGTAGTGGGGCCTGCCTGCAGAAATGTCTGATAAAACCTCACATATAATAATTAATTCAGAAGGCTTTGTAAGCAATAGCTGCAGTTGCTTCTTCAGACTAGAGAGAGCTTCTCATGCATTAATGCACTTAGTTAGGTTTTGTGAGGAGCTCAGGAGGACGTGGCCTCTTCCTGATACAGTTAGTCGAGCCTGGACTCTGCACCACTGATATCGTTCAGCGACTGTGTGCACCAATAATTTAAAAAAAACCAAACTAAACAATACATCAGGCTGTTTTTATCAGAAACAAGTAATAAATCTTATAATGATAATAAAAAAAAAAAAGGGAATTTCTGACGTGTGACATTTCATTGCTTGAGAGCAGATCAGTGCAAAGTGAGGTAAGCCCAGGGCTGGGGCTGTGTCAAACCAGGCGCCGTCTCTTGGAGTCCCTCTCCATGTCCTCAGGGGGACAGTCCCCATTGCAGCCCAGGGGGGACACCAGCTTCAGCAGAGGGTCCTCAGAGGCCCCTCCAAACAGGGACAGCAACAAAGCCACGCCATAGCCAGTAGCTCGTTCACCCTGGAACAAAACCAGAACCAACGGTTCACACTCGGAGGAGCTGGGTTAGCTGCAATTTGGCTGATGCAAGGAGAGCTGTGGTGGTCAGCAGCCACTGCCAGCCCCTGTCTGTGCTGCTGGATCCTCACCACCCCTGGAATCTGTCCCAGCTGGATTAAACCAACACATGGGAACAGAGCTCCCACTCACTTGTGGGTGGAGAGAGGCCAGCATTGTTCAGGGCAGGGGATCTCCCACCCAGCCTGAGCCTGGATTTGGAATATGAGCTGAATAAACTGGGCTTAAAAAAAAAAATAGAAGCAAGTGGAGTGAATTGGCTTGGTTTTTAGGCAAAAAAAAATAATATACACAAGTTCCACCAAAGGGAACATATTTTTGGAAGGATGATCAATTCTGGTCAATCATCTTAAAACAACATGGTTGAAAATGGAAGGCTGGGATTACTGCCATGAACAGAGACCAGGCAAGTTGTCAATGCTCACAATGATAAAGATGTCACTGATTAAAGTGGCTGTAAAAATATCTTACAACCAAAACGAAAAATACGAACAGATGAAACCACCAAACCAAGAAACTCAGGAGAGAGAAGAGGCAGTGCTTTTCTAAAGGACCCTTCTCCACCTATTTCTGTCCCTCTGAGCTG